GTAGCAGGTCCCCAGCCACAGTCACTGAGTAAGCAAACACTGACTCACCAGGTCTTGTCCAGGACATGATGACAAGATGTCTTGTCCCTTCCCATGGCCCTGGCATTCTAGAGGGAACAGGAAGCAAGCTCCGTGGTGCTGTCAGGGCTCCTGTGGGGCAGGCTAGGGGTGTCGGGAAAACCCGCGGGGGGCTGTGCAAGAGGGGTGGAAGTGAGGGATGTCGAGGCAGAGGCGGGGGTGGAGAGGGACCAAGGCATTCGGGGGGGTGGTCACAGCAGCAGGTGAGGGAAGGTGGACTGGGGCGGGAGGGCTGGGGGGTGGCCAGTGTCAGAGGACCTGGCCTGGTCGAAGGGCGTTCACTTCTATGGTGATGTGGCCGCACAGGTGCTGGGCGGCCTGAGGGGGGCCGGGAGGGAGGAAGAGGGGCTGACCGAGGTGGGAGTGGGGCAGATGTCTGACAGGTCAGGACATCACGGCATCACGGGGGCAGTAACACTGGGTTGAGCAGAGCAGTGCGGGGGCTGGCCAGTGGCCAGGGGAGCACAGCCGGGGGCCCCTTGGGAAGGGGTGGAGGCAGCGAGCAGACTGGAGGGAGCTTCTCAAAAACGCAGAACAGAAGAAAGTGTGGAGGGAAGGACGAGAGCGGTGACTGGGCTGGGACCCGTCTGCACGGGCTCCCTGCCCGCTGGGCTCAGGCAATGGCACGCGTATCTTCCCTTGATTCCCGTTGGGTCCAGCTCTGCCCTGACTGTGCGCCTGGCATTTGGGAACTTGGCCCAATTTGAGTCGTTGCCACGAGTTACCAGGAGCGGTTCCTTCCTCTCTTGACCACACAATCACTGCTGTTCCTCCAGCCGCGTGGTGCCACACGGCGGTTCTCAGCCCTGACCTGGGGCTGGGCCTCTGGAGTGGGGTCCCCGCTCTGCTCCCCTGACCTCGGGCTCAGCATCCCGCCCCACAGGTGCTCACCCAGGGGCCCCCCAGCCGCCCCGCCATCCCAGGCTGGCTGTGCCCTGGAGACCGCCCTCTGCCTCACCTCCAGGACCCATCGAAGCCCGAGCTTCACCCCCGTACCCCGCCCCAGGCAAGAAGGGCCCAGTCTCGTGAATTGGGAGCCGTGGTTTCGGGCACCTGAAAATATCCTTTATTTGTTCACTAGGAGCCAGTGGTGGAAACTACACCACCACTGATTTTTTAAAAATTCTTAAGAGGAAATTCACATAACCTAAAATTAATCATTTTAAAGCATGTGATTCAGTGGCCTCTGGTCCACTCACCACATCGTGCAGCCATCATCTTAATTTTGCTTCAGAGCATTTCCATCGCCCCCTAAAAGGAACCACTGCCCAGTAGGCAGTCCCTCCCCACGCCCTCCTCCCCGGCCCCGGCTGCCACCCATCTGTGTCCGTCTCTGCGGATGTCCCTGCTCTGGGTCCTTTATGAAAGTGGGTCTGTGCAGTATTGACCTGTGCTTCATCTCCTTCACTGATCATGTTGCTTCTGACATTCAGCCACGGTGGGCATGTGTCATTCCTATTTATGACTGACAGCATTCCGCTGTATGGATGGACCACATTTTGTTTATCTGTTCATCCGTTGATGGACACTGGGGCTATTCCCACCTTCTGGCCTCTGTGGATGGTGCTGCCGTGAGCATTCGTGTACATGCACTTGCTTTGGTTTCTGTGTTCAGTTCCTTTGGATCTATACCTAGGAGTGGAAGTGCTGGGTCACATAGTAATTCTGTGTTTTCATTTTGGGGGACTTGCCAAACTGTCTTCTACAGCAGCTGCATCATTTTACATTCCCGCCAGGAAAGTATGAGGGCTCCAAATTTTCTACATCCTCATAATACCTGTTATTTCCCTTTCTTCTCTTTTCTTTTTCTTTCTTTCTTTTCTTTCTTTCTTTCTTTCTTTCTTTCTTTTTTTTTTTTGATTTTAGCCATTCCAGTGGGTGTGAAGTGTTGTCTCCTTGTGGCTTTGATCTGCATCTCCTTAATGTCTAATGAGATTGAGCATCCTTTCATGTGCTTATTGGCTGTTTGTTTATCTGTTTTGGAGGAATGTCCATTTTTAAATTGGGTGTCTTCTGCTGAATTCTGAGAGTTTTTATATATCCTGGATACTAGACTCTTATCAGATGTATGATCTACAAATGTCTTTTCCCATTCCGTAGGCTGTCCTTTCACGCTCTTGCCGGTGTCCTTTGACACACAAAAGTTTAAAATTCAGATGAAGCCCAACTTCTCTTTTTTTCTTTTGTTGCTGATGCTTTTGGGGTCATAGCTAAGAGACCATCATGAAATCCAAGGTCAAAAAAGCTCTGTGTTTCCCCTAAGAGTTTTAAAGTTCAAGCTCTTATATTGAGGAGCACAAAAATTAACTCAAAATGGAGTTTGTTTTTGTGTATGGTGTGAGGTTGGGATGACAATTGACTTCTCATTCAGCCTCTCTTGCTACTGTATGACCTTGACAAGGGGTCTCTGTGGACCCAGCTCTGCTCCCCCAGCTCCTAGTTTGGTACAGGCTGGGACATGCCCTTGGGATGCTGCCTGGAAGGACCCTCTCTTCCATCTCCAGTGGCTGGCACTGAGGGGTGGAGCCAGGTGGCTGGGAGCAAGGGGTGGAGACTGGAGAGCAGAAGAGAGTCTCCCAGGTGTAGGATGATTGGTCAGGACCACAGCTCAGGGCCTGTGGCTCCTCCCTGTCCAGCCTGACTCCCTCACCCGTCGTCCCTCGGGCGGGGGGGGGGGGCGTGGCACAGGGAGGATGAGCTGGAGCAGAAGGGCAGAGAGAGGGTCTTTGCCTCTCCCTCCCTCCGAGCCGTGCCGCTTTGAATTTTCGGATGGGGCTCATAGACCTGATGTTCCTGCCCCCCAGATGGGCCTCTCCTGAGACACAGGTGACAGCCTCTCAGCAGCAGCCTCTCCTGACACCTGCGTTTAAGTACCTCCTTATCCCCGTGTTTCAGAAACCTCTGGGACCAAGACCTTTCCTCTAGGAAGATGAGACCCAGGTGTCCATGGCCTCTGGGCTGTTGGGGCAGGCGACATGCCATGTGCGGTGAGAAAAGCAGCTCTCCATGTTGGACAGACAGCCAAGGAGAGGTGGGGGTGGGGTGGAATGCAGATCGGCCTTAGCTGGGGAGCTGAGCAGGGGCCAGACCCTCAGGGCTTCAGGGCCAGAGCAAGGGGCAGGGCTTGGTCCTGACAGCAGGGCAAAATCACCAACTAGGCCCCTCCAGGATCTGAGATGTGGGCAAGATAATGCCCCCGAGCAGGGACAGTGGCTTTGGGCACCCAGCTGAGAAGTCTGATTTCTGTCATGGGACTGATCTGGCTGGCAGGCCCCGGCCAGATCTGGGCAAACTGGAAACCTGCTGAAGCTCCTCCCACCCGGAACGGTTAGACGGGGCACCCCGAGGAAGGGGCTGGGCTTTATTTCTCTGGTAGATCTGGCTCGGAGCCGGAGGTCTGAGCCGTGCTCACCTTCTGCCAGGCTGACCTCCACCACCCTTCCCCGGCCTCTGCCCCCCAGGCTCCTCGCCTGTGGGTCCTCCCAGGAGCCATGAACCCCAGAGGTGAGTGGGGAGGGACAAAGACTCCAGGAATGGGGCCGTGGGCACCTCTTTGGGTATCTGAGAACCTGGCCAAGGCTTCCCAGCTGCACCAGAACCAGCCAGCCTTGGGGGGGACAGCTGGGCGGAGGGGAGCCGGGAAGGTCTGGGGAGCTGTGTGTGTGTGTGTGGTGGGTGATCCTGGGCAGGGGCGATGACTGGTGTCTGGGGAACTAAGACAGGCCGGACATGGCTAAGGTGTTGGAGGGCGGAGGGCAGGCCCTCGGGGAGCTGTCCTGATTTGACAGGCAAAGCTGGTGCCCGGGTCTCCCGCAGGCAGAAGCACCCCCACCTGCCCCTCTCCGGGGCTCTCTCTCCCCTCCACTTGTCTGGGCCCCAGAGGAGAGAGCCGGTGGTGGAGGAGCTGTTTCCTCCTGTTGTAAAGACTGCCTGTGACAGAGCAAGCTGAAGTCCTCCCAGGAGCCTGGACGCAGCCTTTTGCTGGGGGTGGGGCGGGGCGGGGGGAGCCCAGCGCACCTGCAGGGGAGAGGTTGGAGAGGAGGCAGGGAGGGAGAAAGAGGGTGGGAGGAAAGGGCCAGGGGAGAGGAGCTTCCTGCCTGTCGGTAACCCTGCCCTAATCTGGCCCAGTGTACTTTGTGAGGCTGAGGGTCAAAATCAGAGAGAGGATGAAAAGCAGAGGGGAGGAAGGGAGAGAGTGGGGAGGAGATGCGAGACGGAGGAGGAAAAGGAGGGGGCAGGGCACCGCTAGGCTCCCCAGGATGGTCTATGCCTTGCACCTCCGTGGCTGAGGGGTGGAGGCTCTGTCCAGTCCCCCTCCCAGCCCCTCCTTGCTGTTGCCTGGCAACCACTCAGGCCCTACTCGTCAGAACTGCCCCCACCCCAGCCTCCATGTCCCCCAGCCCAGCCCCCGAGTCTGCAGATGGGGAAACCCTGGCTCTCCCGGCAGATGGAGCCTGGGCATCTGGACTCCCCAGGACCCTGCACAGGGGCACTCGTGGGCCCCCTTCAGAGGGCCCAGTGCGGTAAGTGTCTGCACGTGAGGCCCGGTGGTCCCCTGCCCAGAACTCCTGCCCAGGTCCACCCTGCACACAGCCACCTCTCCTCAGAGTGACCAGGACACAGGGACCTGACCCTTGTGTTTGTGGATTCCCAATACGGCCCTGTGGGTGGAACCAGGCACTGTTAATTCACCTCATCCGTGACCCTTTGTGATGAACCTTCAGAACTGCAGAGTGAGGCAGGTGCTCAGCTTAATGGATTGGTTCTGTGGGCCCCGATCCCCCAGGTACCACGCACAGCCGTGATCAAGCCCCAGCCCCTGGCGGCTCCCTTGATCGGCTGAGGGACCAAGGCAGGGGAGCAGCCCAGGGGGCTCTAGGAAAGCTCCCGGGCCTCTGCTCAGCCCGACCCCCTGAGAGCAGGAGGAAGTGGCCCTGCTGAGAAGCTGCGAGAGTCCAGGGAGGCTACAAAGCTCCAAGCACCGCAGGCCCGTCTCTCATTCCCTCCTGGCTCCTGGGACCGGCACTGGCTGTGGGGGCCCTGCCAGAGCCGGGAAGGGCGGTGGAGGGGGAAGGACGTCTGTGGTCCTTCCGGGCATCAGGGCTCGGCGTGGGCAGGACCCAGGCCCCGGTCTGCTAA